TTGCTTTTTTTTTTTTGTTACCAAAGATTGAATTGGGTACCTTTTGCCTTTGAAGCAGACAGCAGAACCATTGAGCTAAATCCCCAGGCCTCTATTACTTTTTTAATCATTAAAATTATATCAATCGCTTTTTGAAATATGAGAAAGAAAAACTTACAGTATTATTACCAATTTTATATAACCAGTAATAGAGTTTTGGAATATTATCTTTCAGTTATTTTCTTTGTGTGCCTTAAAATGTGATCAATAGAGCTGTGTGTGGTAGCTCACATGTGTAATCCTAGCACTTGGGAGGCTGAGGCAGGAGAATTGCTACAAGTTTGAGGCCAGGTTGGGCTACATAGTGAGTTTAAAGCCAGCCTGAATTACAAAGTGAGACTCTGTCTCCCAAAAAACCCCCAAATTAAAAAAAGTGGAATATACATATCACATATATCCATACATATATCCATACACACATACTGATATACTCACTGGAAGGTTGCTTTGTATCAGACCATGTTTTAAGCTGAATATGTGTGTCTCATTACAACAACTATAGGAGGAAAGTTCTGTTTATTGCCCCAGTTTTTCAGTTGAGGAAACTGAGGCCCAGAAAAATAAAGTAACTTGCACACTGTCATACATTCTGGAAGTGGCAAGCCATGGTTTCATCGAGCCTCCAGAATTTTATTCATACTTTATGACTATTATAATAATGAGGAATATCATCCTTTTTAATCCTGCTTTTTCATCTAACAGAAGAAATCTAACATTCTCTTACATTTCTTTGTTGATTTAAAGTCAGTACACAGTGTATTAGCATTAGGAGGAAGTTGACAAAGTTTTATAACCCGTGTGTGAAAGGGTATGGTAGAGGAGCAGGTACAAGTTATCCTTAGGTGCTTAGAGGAAGAGAACTTGAGTGCATTAGCAGAATCTTGCCTAGTGGTTTTCAGGAAGAATGAGGACTACTCTATCCATGTGTTTCTCTGGGATTGTCAGGCATAGTCTAATACCGAGGTGAACACAGGATTGTAGCAGAGCCCCACACAACTGTTGCTGTGTTATGTTATTGAGGGAGAGTTACTCTTAACTCCTATGGCAAGTGCTTACTGAATATCTCTTTGCTTTTGATTTGGCTTTCCAGTTCTAGAAATGGTTACCAGGTGAAGAGACTTCACATACTGTTTCTTTGACAGTTAATACCTCACTATAAATGAAAAAAATTGGTTCTGACTTTCTTTGTCTTATTAACCTGTTAAATGCAAGCCTGTGTTGCAGAGCTAAAACCCACCTTTGGTGGCTTGTTGGTGAAAATTGGGTTCCAGACTATACATGAGCCCTAGGCTAAGGTCATTTTACTGCTGTCATTTTGCCATGGTCATTCACTGGTGAATCTTGCCACAGGCCTTGTTGAGGCAGATGGAAACTCAACCCTCCTGACTCTGTTTTTTTCTCAGTATCTAAACAGTTGTTAACAACTATATAACATTCTCTCAAGTGGCTGTATTGGAATTTACTTAATCATTTTCCTACTATAGGACATTTAGGTCATTTCTCTGAATACCTTTTCAAAGAAGTCAAATTTTTGTTTTGCTTTATTGTCCTAATCAAGTAGTGAATTACATGTACTTAGAAATTTATGAGTACATCCCATTTTAATGAATAGAACACAGATGTACATTATTATATCTCTCTCTTGGACAGCTTATAGTACCTATTGGCATACACCCCAGAGATTCTGTATAACAGACATGTTCCCTTTGGTCACACGGTTTTGCTGTGATGCTTTTAGAAGTAGAATTAAGAGAGACTATAAATATGATTGTCTAAAGGAGACCACTGACTAGAGTGGGGAAAGCAAGGACCTCAGGAGGCATAGTGTGTAGGGAACAGACAAGAGGAGCTAGGATCCCAGGCCTAGCAATGAGTGGGCAAAGGGGATCGGGAGACAAGGGCTAGGTTACCTTTCCCCCACCCTGTACCAATACTTAACCTGACACTAGGTTTTACAGCTCAGGTTTTCAGAAGGCTCTTCTTGAAAATTTTTCAGTCTCCTTCTGAAAAGCAGACATGCTGAGCATCAGATGATGAAAAGTTTCTTTTGTACTGGGATGGAATCCAGGAATTCATACATGTAGGCAAGTGCTCTACCTTTGAGGTGCATCTGCAGCACAGTGAAAAGTCTTAAAGTTGTGCTAGCTCTTCCTGGTTAGGGAGTGGGGAGCCACAGAGTTAAGACAGTAATTTGTTCTCACTGATGATCCTGATAAGTGCACTTAGCTCTGTGGAACATCAAATGGAGGGGCCAGGGGCCATTGGGAGGGATGTGGAGCAGAAGCAGTGGCAAGCAGTAGGCAGATTCCAGTGCAGAGTCAGCCAGCAGGGGCTGGGGACCAAGGGTGGGCACAGAGAGGCAGTGTCAGCTCAGGGTTTGATTACTCAAGTGAGAGGAGTAAAGTGGATGGAAAGCAGGTTTGGGCGATGCTGAGTTTGGGGAAGCAAATAGAACATCTAGATGGGAAGGTTCATCGGGCAGTTGTAAATAAAAGCGCTTTAAGCTGAGACAGGGTCTCAGTATAAATTTGGAAGTAATCGCTGTAATTTATATAATTTACACATCCTTGTTTTTGTTTCCCATTATCTCCAACTTATATTGCTACTGTTAATATTTTATATTACAAACACTTTGTACACTGATTATATCCTGCCTGGACGTTCTGTCTTCTGTCTGTCTTTCTGACCCCCTCCCTTAATGTATAGTTTTGCTTTACCTAGAATTATTTCTACCTGTTGGAATCTTTACTTCCACTTAAGTACTCTTCTTTATCCATCTTAGATGGCATAGCTCTTTATTTTCCATTGGAAAATGTTCCCAAATCCAAATTATGTCACTTGATATCTAGAGAAGATGATTACCATACCATTTAAGGAAAAACAATCACATTCTTTATAGATTATCTTTTATTTTATTCAGATATATCCATAATAGAAGGAACCAGTACATTCTGAATGTTACTACTCTTCTAAGCACTACTGCTTTGAGATCATTACTTTGCTTCCTGATCTTAAAAGACTTATTTTTAATTTATCTGAAATGTTCATTGGAGCATTTGCCTTACATAAGTAGACACCATGAAAACTGTCTCAGTAGAACAGTGGGCTTCCACGTTGTCATTTCAATATGGAATGTGGGGGTTATGTGTAACATTTTGCTAAGTGATTACTAAATTAATCATAGTGAGAAGGAATTTATGGCAAGAAAATAACTTTTTAATTTCCTCTGTAGACGTTACTATTCGTGAGGATCAATGGGTTGGTGAGACAGTACTTCAATCAACATTTACCAGTCACTTATTAAATCTTGGGAGTTATCCTTCTGTCCAGCCTGAAGAATGTAAGACACATTTTAAATGTAGTAATTTCTTAGTATCAAAGCATAGATGGTCCTTGACTTATGATGCTTCAACTTAAACTTATGATGTTTGACTTTGTGATTGTGCAAAAGCAACACACATATTTTGTTTTGTTTGTTTTATGTTTTTGTTTTTGTGACTGGGTCTCTCTTAGTAGTTCAGACTGGCCTGAAACTCACTGGCCTTGAACATGTGTGGTGATTTTCCTGACTCAGCCTCCCATGTGCTGGGATAACAGATATGCGCCCCATGTCTGGTTATACCTTGTATCTTGGATTTTGATCTTTTCCTTGGCTAGTGACATGCTGTGACCCTCTCTAGAGATGCTGGGCAGTGAGCTACATGTTCCAGCTGGCTACCTGATCGCCAGGGGAAGTGACTGAGGCTCTCAAGGGAACTGGGTTGCTAAGCTGGGATGTGTGATGTGTCAAGCGTATTGAATACTATTCAGTGTACACTTTGGTTTTAGGGTGAGATTATTGGGCAGTAACACCTTGAAGAGAATCTGTGTATAAACACATTAAGAGAGATAAGAGTAAAATGATTCTTAAATTTTTATACAGGCATTTTCATTCTAGAATAAACATGGAATTTTAAAACTATACATTAAAAATCACATTTATTTAAAACAGTGTCATAATTCATGTTTCATTTTCCTTCTGTTTTTAGGTACTCAATATAGTGGTGGTTCTTAATCTTCTAGCAAGTAATAGACCTCTTTGAGAAGATATGGGACATTTCTGCCAGGCTTCTCCTATTCACCTTAGACTGGAGTTGGTGTCTGGTGCAGTTAGGCAGGAGGTGTCTGAGTGGGGAGGGATAATGCAGACTATGTATCTGCATTTGCAGATGCTCTGAAAACACCTCAAAACTGCAGAGAACAGAGATAAAACTAACTCAGGCAATAAAAGAATTCAGGGATAATAGTGTTCACAAAGTTAATGTTAAAACCCAGTAACCAATAAACAAAAATACTGTAGGAAATAACTCATTTACAGTAGTAATCAAGAAGGTATTTCAGTATAAGTTTAACAAGAATCCCAGATGAGGAAACAAATAGTCCAGAAAGCAGTGACAGCTTAAGTAATAGATGATGACTAATGAGTTTGAAGAAACAGAAAGACAGTCCCTATTCTGGGATAGGATGATTCAACACTATTGTGTCAAAAGTTATACACAGATTGAAAGCAGTTCCCATAGAAATATCAACAAGCTCTGCTTTAGCAGATGGAAGTTAACACTAAAGTGGATATAGGAAAACAAGTATGTAAGAAGCAGGTATGAAAACACACACATGTGCGTGCACGCACACACCCCATGAGGTCCATCAGCATTGCCCAACAGTGAAGTACGCTAAAGCCTCTGTGGTTAAAACTCTGAGGTGGTGGTGCACAAATAGACAGTGGAATAGAATAGCAGATCCGAGGAGCCCCATGTGTGTGTAACAATTTTGTTATGACAAATGTGATATTTGAAATCTCTGGCTAACTTTATAAATGGTGCTGAGACATTGGAAAAAGAATTAGACACCTATCTTACAACACACAATAATAGATACCAGATGGGTTAAGAATCTAAATGTAAAAAAATAAAACCATGTATCTATTAGAAGGAAATATAGAATTTCTTTTTAATTTTAGAATAAGGAAAGACTTTCTTTTTTTTTTCAGCTTTAATTGAGTTTATTGGTACATTTTAGGGATACAGTACAGTTACATTCATTGTTGGGATCTTGTACCTCTACATGACAAGTCTTGATTCTCATTTTTTCCCCTTGTCCCTGCCCTCCCTTCACCCCTTCCCCCCTCCCCATCTACAAACACTTTATTTCCATCTTTTCATTACCTCACATTTTTTTTCTTTTCCCTTATTACCCTTCCCCTACCCATCCCACCTTCCCTACACCTTTAGCTCCTTTCTTCCCATTTCTCAATGTCAGTAATCTTACTAGGATCTTCTGTATTATTGCAGATTATTCACACCAGAGAAACTGTTCAGTAATCACATGTGTGTCTTATTTATTTCACTTAGGAGTATATCCTCAATATGTATCCATTTTCCTATGAATGAATCTATTTTCTCGTTCTTTATGGCTGAGTAATATTCCATTTTATAGAAAAACCACATCTTCTTTATCCAGTTTCCAACGGATGGGCAAATGGGCTGTTTCCAAGTTTTAGCTATTACAAACTGTGCTGCTATAAACATGGGTGCGCATACTTCTCTGTGATATGATTCTTTTGGTTCTTTTGGAAAGATACCCAGCAGAGGAAAGACTTTCTTAATATTGTTGAAAATGCAGAAGCAGCAAAAGACAAGTTTGCTAAATTTGACTACAGAGAAATTAAGTTATTCATGAATGAAGACACTATAAGCAAAAGTCAAAAGACAACTGATGAATATTTACAACATATACCTTAGAAAGAAGGCTAAGATCTCTAACACAGAGATTTTACTGATAGAGGACCTGAAAGGACATGAGAAAATGGGGAAAAGAAATAAACAGTTTTCAAAAAATAATGTAAAAATAGCCCTTAAGTATAACTTATTCATAATTAGATAAATTAAATTTAAAACTACAGGGAGATACAGTGTATTACCTAGAACAAAACATGACAACATAACTGTTGATGAGGTGGTGATGAATAGGACCTTATACTCATTAGTTGTAGAAGTGCAGATTGTTACAGCCCTTCTGGAGGGGTATTTGCAATACCTAACAAAAGTACATATGCACTTTGCTTTTTGTTTTGTTCTGAGACTCTTGCTACAGCCCAGGCTGGCCTTAGCCATCCTCCTGCCTCAGTCTCCCAAGTATTGGGATTGCAGATGTGTGCCACCACACCCAGCTTATACTTAGCTTTTGCCCTAACAAGCCACTTCTGGGAACTTACCCTGAAGATGTACCTTCAACAGTAGGAAAGTATGTACATACACAGGTTTGTTTATTGTAGTTTATAATTGCAAAACATTGGAAAAAATCTAAATGGTTATACATAGAAAAATGACCAAACTGTGGGACAGCCACATAGTGGAATACTGTGCTGCCATTAAAAACAAAACAGATACAAAGTGATTTCTATCGTGTACAGTTACATGAAAAAAATATATGGCATGCTGTCCTTCATATTTATATAAATAAGGAGGGTTTCAGGTATAGTGGTACATGCCTATAATCCCAGCACTCAGGAGTCTGAGGCAGCAGGATTACCACTCATCTTGAGTCCAGCCTAGGTTACTTAGTGAGACCATGTCTCAAAAAGAAAAAAGAAAGAAAAGAAAAGGAGTAAAAGAATACATGTGACTGTGGAAAGAAAATGTAGCAAGTGAAACCAGAAACTAAAGAGACTACTGACTATAGACACAAATGGGAAAGGGGCAAAAGGAAGAGGAGAATGGGAAGAGAGTAGCAGGGATGATTGAAGAATGACCCTTCTCTGAGTCTTTGTGTAGTTCTAACTGAACCACAGTGATGTTTCGTATATCCCCCAAATTTCCAAGTACTTTAACCAAGTGGGATACAGAGGAAGGAAACCCCAAATGGAATACAAACACTAACAAGTGAATCTACCAGTGTTTCAGATGAAGAAGGGGTGAGGAAGAAAAGAACTAATCTAAGTATCTATGGAGGACCCCACACTGACTGGATTCTGTGAGGCTCAGGACAGAAAGGGCTGTGTAAATGCTGTAATCCAGGCAGTAAGTGTATGCCTCGAAAGAGATAAAGCAACAACTTTGATGTATACTGTATACCAGAATTGAACAAATATGTACATACATTGTAGATAATAGGAGCTGTATTTCTCACTACTGGATAGAGAAATTATAGAATATGAAAGGGAAAAGATTAAAATGAACCTTTTGTATTAGAACTGAGGTGTTATTACAAACTCAGGGTTCCTAATCTGTAGGTAAATAGATACAGAGACAGCGTGTGTCAGTGGGCTGGTTCTGTGTGCTAAGAGGGCACAAAGCAGCAGTGCCCCAGTAACAGTGGGCACATTCAGTATCTAGAGCTCGTCTGTAACCATTGTTCTAAAAAAGGAAACAGCTTTACTAGAGGTGGCTGACTGCAGGGCCAGGTCAGGGAAAGACATGGTGAGCCTGCAACTCTGGGGTCAAGTAAGGTTTGCTGAAAGAACACAGGCGCCGACCTGAACAAGCACCTGCTCCCCAAAGCTGGAATGTAAATAAATTAAAAAAAAAAGACAAGTGCTTTATAATTCATGGAATAAAACAAATGTTTATCGGTCCATACTGATATTAATATATATTTAACTGGTAAATGTGAGAGAAAAGAGAAAAATAGTTACCCTTAGACACGACAATAATATTACAAATATTGATTGATGTTATATTAGCAGGTGGGATTTTGGGAAGGAATAGCACTGCTTAGTCTCAAATTATTTCTCCAGCACAGTTCCAGCTTCTTTTTTCATTAAAAAAAATTTTTTTAATGAAAAAATAAGCTGGGTGTGATGATGTATGCCCAGCACTTGGGAGGCTGAGGTAGGATGATTGCTATGAGTTCAAGGCCATCCTGAACTAATAGCATGACTCTATCTAAAAAAAATAAATAAATAAAATTTTTATAAACAAATAAGAGAATAACAATATTTATTATATTGTATATCATTATTTTCAAAGTAATTACTTAAAATACTAGACATAACCAAAAAGATTCTTACAAAAAAGAAACAGAGATAACACAAAATTTTATTTTCAGTGAACTAAGATAAACTAGTAGTATAAATGAAATCAGCATATATAATTGAAGTATTTTTAAAACAATGGAATTTATAATTTGGGAAAGCATTTGAACTCCCAACTTTCTATTTATTTCTCTTCCAGTTTGTAACTTGTTTGCATGTATCCATCTATTATGTTTCTCATATACGAGAAACCATGGAATATTTGAGCTTGTGATTCTGACTTCTTTTGTTTTACATTCTGTTCTCAAATTGCATGCATTTAACTATGAATGCCTCAAGATGATTCTTCTTTTTGTTGTTGTTGTTGTTTTTTCAAGATTTCTTGGTAGTATAGTACTCCATTATGAATAAATACCACATTTTCCTTTTCTATTCATCTGTTGATGGACATATATGCTATTGGTTCCATTCTCTAAGAGAAAGAATAGTAACTCCACAGTGAAGAAACTTGGCAAACCTTGACTTACTAAGTGATCAAGGTAAACATCACCAGTAAAGATATATGGATATTATGAGTTCCTTCATTTTATGCATTGAGAAGGATACAACATAATTTTTATAGTATCTCCCAAAATGTAAACTTGATTCTAATCATAACAAAACATTGGAGAAACCCAAATGGAGGGAAATTCTACAAAATACTAATCAGTACTCTTTAGAAGTGTCAAGGTCATGAAAGATAAGGAAAAACTGAGGACCTGGTACAGACCAGAGGATACTGACAAAAAATAACAATTAAATGTAAGGTGGGATCCTGGATAGGGTCCTCCTCAGAAAAAGGACATAAATGGGAAACTTGGTAACATTTATATAAACTCTGTAATTTAATTAATATTTAGCCAATTCCTGTGCCGGATATTTATTCTATTTGTGAGATATCAACATTAGAGTTTATAGCGTGAATAATATGTGGAGACTCTACTATTTTTGCAACATTTTTGCAACTCTTAACATTAGTTCCAAACAAAAAGTTTTTAAAAAGGCATATATGATCATTCCAATAGGCACAAAGGTTTTGATGAAATTCATTGCCTATTCATCAGAAATAAAAAGAAATTTCTCATAACTTTAGAGACTTTCAAAAACCCAGAATAATTATCATCTAAATTGAAACGAATATTAGAAAAATTGCTTTTAAAATTCAGGCACTAGACTAATATACTGCTATTACCACCTTTGTTTAACATTGTATTAGGGCTGGGCATGGTGGTGCACACCTGTGATCCCAGTACTTAGGAGGTTGAGGCAAGATGATTGTTGAAAGTTGGAGGCTGGCCTGGGCTACATAGTGAGTTCAGGACCAGCCTGAACTACATAGTGAGAACCTGTCTCAAAAAACAAAACAAAACAAAAAACCCAAACTAAACCAAACTCCATTGTAGTAGGTTATTAACTAGTATGATGTAACATGGAAAAAACATACACAAAGATTAGAAATGATAAAATAAAACTGTCATTACTTATAGGTATTATGATGTTTTACACATGACCTTTCCCCCTTTGTAAGCTAGAAGCAAATTATTAGAAATAGTGGGGAAGTTTAGCAGGGTGGCTAGATATAAGACTATATACAAAAGACATTTCTAGAGTAGAACAATTAATAACACTTAAGGAGGCTGGGGATTTAGCTCAGTAGTTCGCCACCTGCCTCATAGGCGCAAGGTCCCGAATTCAATCCCCAGTACCAAAAACAAAACAAAAAACCCAAAATTAAAAACAAACCCAAAAACAACACTTGAGGAAGGCACTGTTTACAAAATTGTCATGGTACTAAGTATGAAGTAGTAATTATAACAAAGAATATAAAGTCCTTGTTCAGTGATTAGAAGATTTTTCCCAAGTTGGTCTGTAAATTTTGTGCATAGCCAGTGAAAAACTCAAAGTGATTTTTATGAAAGTTGATAGATTACCTGATATTTTTGTGGAAGAGTAAACAGTCAAAGACAGGCAAGGCATTTTTAAAAGAAAAGTAGGGAGGAATAACTTGGGCTATTAGTAATCAAGAATTACTGTAAACCAACAGTCATCAAGATAGTGTGGTTTTGACCAGTTGTAATCAGTCAATATTTTAATTGTGGGATTTTTCAGTATGTTGTGCTTTTGGAAAAGACTTCTGTTCATTACAAATTATAGTGACGTATTACATGTTTTATAGTCCTAGTCCTGGTAATGTGATAGGATATAAATTTATCTTAAATAGTATTAAATATATCAATCAAAGGCTAACACTGTTTACTTGAGGTAGACTGTATTTTCCTTGTAATCTAAGTAACCATATATTTTTGTGTAAATTTTTATAAAACAGGGACAGATGTACAATTTGATGTCTGGGATTATTTTCTCCCTAAAACTGTCACATTGTAAATGAAAAATGAAGACAAGAGAAATATGGGTTCACATGGGTTGTCATCGATGGTGGCCTAATCACAGGAAAGAAAAGAGTGTGTTTAGCCAGAGAGCAAGTGAGGCAGCTTGGCCTGTAGAGTATTTCAGAGGTGAGGTACCCAGGAGCTTGTAGAAGAATGGTTTAGGTCAAGAGAGTTGGGAAAGATGGGATTAAAGCAGATTCCAAAGACAGGGAACCAACAGGATATCATCAGGGTGCTGGAGGAATAAAAACATAATGGAAGTTTTGAACTTGGTAAATTAGTAGAGAAGTGTTATTAATCAAATAGAGAAGTAAGGGAATAAAGTAAAATTTTGGAGATGGTAAATGATTGTTCCATTGCTTAAAAATGTCAATTTTTATTTTTACTTCAAACCGATTCAAAGCTGATGTTTTGTAGAAATGAAATGGTATTTTACATCTAATTAGACTTTAACATAAAATGCAGTTCTAAAATATATGCGCTGTGAAGAAAACGTGATATTGTCTACATTGGCATGTATTTTTCTTCCTTAGATTCCAATATAGTTAGCGCTGTTGTACTTCAGGACCTACTGGCATATGTGTCTTCGAAACATTCCTATCTCAAAGGTCTTCCACAGAGGCGGCCTCAGAGAGTGAGCAGGATAGAGTTTGTAGAACTGGAGCAGCTGCAGCCAGATACATTAGTCCATGCCATGCTGAGAGTTGTGGATGTCACGGTACTGACGGGTAAACATTCTGAGCGCTTCTTTGATTTTAGATCATAAAAAGTTAAGACACAAGACCATCTTACTGTATCATTTAGTTATCATTACACATTTATCATGAGTTATTAAAGTATGCCATCACCTGTGATAGAGTGACAACCAACTAAGACATTCCTTTTCCTTTCCCAGAGGCATCATACAGTTACAGAGGACAGAAGCAAAGGAAAGTTATGTTAACAGTGGAACAGACCCAAGGTCAACGTTACATGCTTGTGTTATGGGGTCCTGGAGCAGCTTGGTACCCTCAGCTTCAAAGGAAAATAGGTAAATACACCCAAAAAAGCAGTTAGCCTATTTATATTTTGGTAAATGATTAATGCTCATGAGCTGAAGATGAAGAGAATCTGAAGAAAGGAGATAACATTTAAAATTGAAGATAAATATTCTGCACATTTCTGTTACAATTACATACTCCTTGTGTCAATTTAGTTATCTAAAAGTCCTCTATAATTAATGGTATCAAAATAAAGGCTTACGTTTATTCCCAGGTGTACTACTTAATCCTTTTAAAATTAATATCTGGCCTCCTTTAAATAACATTCTTTAAAAACTTAATTCTGGAGAAACTTCTACAGTTTTCTTTTTTAGCCAAAGTACTCTGATAAATAAACTTCTCTCTGGTTATAAGGCAGATGTTAGGAGAGTTACATTAACACTTTCTGTCACAATTACTGTTCAATAAATGACTATGCTCCACATTTTTATTCCAGTTGTTTTTAAAGTGCTTGATTATTAGACATCATATGGTGCTCATTTAAAAAATGACAATGATATATTTGCTTCAAAGCATAAATTAATAATTTATGGTACATTAAATGTGATTGATGTTTCAGTAAAATAATATTTAGCATTTCCTTTTGCTCTTGTGAGATCCTTTTGTTGTAATGGAGAACATTTAATTAATGGTTTGAGTTATTCTACCCTACAAAATTAATTTAGAGATTAAATGTTATCTTTTACACTTGTTATCTTGTGACACTTGTTATTTTTACCCTGTATTTTTTAACATAAAGACATAAAAACTATATTTATCAGGTACCATGTGATATTTTGATATAAGTATACAATATGTAGTATTTAAAGTCAGATTACTCATACCTGTCTCCTCAAATATTTATCCTTTCTTTATTGTAAAAAAATACTCAGAATCCTTTCTTCTAGACTATCAGAATATAATTATAATTATTATAATTATTATTTTCTTTTATTGAGTTTATTGGTACAATTTATGTATACAGTATGATGACATTCATCATTGGGAATCTGTACCTTTTACATGATATACCTTGGTTCTTATTTTTTTCCCAGTTTCCCTTCCCTCCCTTCAATCCCTCTACCCCACCCTATTCACAAAGAGTTTGTTTCCATTTTTTCCTTTTCTCATATTTTTTCCTTTTTCTACCTGAAGGAGTTAATGTTTTTTTCTAAATGTCTCCTTACCAAATAGCTCTTTGTAGGTAGGATCCAGCACATCATCTCTCTTAATCATTAATAGCTTACAACTAGGATTTGCAATAAGTCTGACTTTTGACTTTTATGTTAGGATGAAACAGTAAGAAATGTTTACTCAGTTGAGAAATCTGACAAACACATATTGTTGATAGACGAGGAGGAGTCCTTGACCACCCTGTTACAAGTGGGACACGAGCCTAGCACATGCTGAACACAGATGTAGGTCAGAGGTAGAGGGGAGCTGAGGCATAACAGAGTGCCCCATGCTTAATGTGAATATCCTTTAAATTAATAGTCATTTGATAGTAGAAGAGAAGTTATAGTTGTCTCTAGATAATTCTTTGGTTTTAAGGTTTACATTGAAAACAGAAATTTAGGACTTAGGATATAGCTATTCTTTGTTAATTCAGCTTAGATTTGTACCATCATTTTAAAGTTTTAACATCTGCTTAAATACCTAAAGGCAGATATTTTTAATAGAAAATACCAATATCAAGGAACCTCTAAGTACATGATTCCATTTTTTGAAATTGTTAGTATTCTACTCATCCATTTTTACATCTTTTTAATACATCTTTGTAGTAACCTCTGTAATGGGCACTGTTTTTATTTGTCCTCAGGGATAACAAAATCATGTTTAGATGACATAATCAGAAATGATCAACAAGCAATTGTTATTGAATACTGGAGATAATGGAGTTAATGTTTTGGGGATGACTAGTAAGAAATCCCAAGTTTATATTCTTTTGAAATACACATTTCTAGTAGGAATTTGTCATGCTTCATATGTAGCAAGCATTGGCCACAGTTTAGGCCCTAATGAGGGTAAATGAAGGGCATAAATTACATTTAAGAGTAATTGGTTAGACATAAAATAATTCATTCAGAACTACATGCCATTCTAATGCAATATTGTTCTGCAATTATTTAGTAGTCTAATATTTCAAATAGCAAATCACAAGAAAGTACTCTCCTTACATAGCTAAGCCCAGAGCAATATAAACAAACCCAACATTTATGGTTATTTGATGCCAGAGTTATGTCTGCATGGAGGTTTGAAATATATCCTTGATTAGTGATTCACATTTAGAAATATATCACAGTTTGTATCATACAGCTGTCTCTCAGATTCGTGAACTTAACCAGCATGCTGTTACTGAATGTGTCAGTCTTCTGCCTCAGGATTAGAATGTACTATTGCTTCTGTCTGTGTTTCCTCCAAACTCTCATTTAACAGGGCTCCTTCATGTCCATCCTCCAGCTTTGTACCTTCATCTCTGCCTCATGTATGCATCCCAGCTCATTCTCTGTGTATTCTTTCATCTCATACTATGCACATCAGAAACTCTTGTTTCTTTTTTTTTCTTCTTTTGATACTGGGGATTGAACTCAGGACCTTGTGCTTGCAAGGCAGGTGGTGGAACCACTGAACTAAATCCCTGGCCCCTCTCTATGCATTCCTCTGGCTCATTTTCTTCTGTGGATTGATTTTCTTAGTCTATAGACTGTAAGTTCTTTGCATGTAAGTGCCTCATCTGGCTATTTAACATATATCCCATCGCACAGTATTGCCAACCCCAGTAGTTATTTTCTTTATGAATGAATGCAGGTTAAAGACATATCAGCCAGCCATGTGAATTTCCCACTGTCTTTAAGGAATAAACAACTCCAGTTTGAGGAGGAAACAGTGTTGCCTAATCACAAGGTTAAAATGTGTGATGGTGACAATTTTGCAAGCCATGGGATGTGTTAAGTAATTATAGCTAAGGCTGAGTGTTGCTACGTGGTAGAGCTCGTGTTTAGTGTGCACTGGGTCCTGGATTTAATTCCCAGTACTCACCCAGGAAAGGAGCGGGTGGGGGAGAAGAGGAAGGGAAGAGGAAGGAAGGAAATTACATTTGTTGAGGGCTTATAGGTAGGACTGAGGCTCCTCTCTGTGTAGCTTCACAATGTGATGTTTATAGAAATGTCTCAGCACCCAAGATGGAGAGGGCTGGTTTGCTTCAGGGGCCTCAGAACCCAGAGCCTGCACACCGTAGCTATCCAGTCCATAGCTTCTCTTATGTTTGGAGCCTTCTCAAGGCTCAGGCTTATCTGCTTCCACACCACATGGAGAGTGGAAGTGGTTACTCCCTAGCTCATGATTTTTACTTTCCTTTGAGAGACCAAACCAGTTTCCATATTCCTAGCAATGAGAATCCTCTCTTAGATAATCTTATCCAATAAACTGTGAATAGGAAGGCAGGAATCCGCAATACTAATGTGAAGGTTTGAGCTTATTTCAGGGGGCAGGAAATGGTTGTTTGTGGTCGGGGTAGACATAATGGTATTCACTACCACAAATACGTAGACACACTAGATTAGAATGATGTATACAATGTATATATTATAAAACTTCATAAATAATAGCATCCCATTTTAATAAAAGTATATCTCTACATGCAGTATATATGTACATTTAAAAATCCAGAAACATATATCAAAATGTTAGCTGTGGTTATCTCTGTGTAGTAATACCTTTAGTTTGAATTTTATTTGAGTTTGTATGTATCTGTATTTACTTCTTAAGCTTTAAAGAGTATTTGACATTTGGGATAGCTACCTGATAATTTGAGGAAAAATAGAATTAAATTTTTACTTCATATTATAACCAAAATACATTGCAAATGCATTGAGATTCAAATAAAAATTAAAAAGAGATGGGTATGGTGGCACATGCCTGTAATTCTAGCACTCAGGAGTCTGAGTCAGGAGGATCACCACGAGTTTGAGGCCAGCCTGAGCTACATAGTGAGTTCACAGTCAGCCTGAACTACAAAGTGAGATCCTATTTCAAAACCCAAAAAGTAAAAAAATAAAAATAAAAATAAACGAGTAGAAAATTAGGTGAACTTATTTGGAATACAAAGATCAGCATGTTAAAGAAAGTACAGCAGCAAAAAATTCTATACATAAATCCCCCATATACAAAATTAAAAGATATGATAAATCAGAAAAAATTGTGCAGTGTCAGAAAATAATACAATAAGCAAAAATCTGAAAAGACAAATGGGTAAAGGATATGAACAGGCAAGGCCCAAGAAGAACTAAAAATAACCAATAAATATACGAAAAAGTCACTCTTTTTTTTTTTTTTTTTGTGATACAGGGGATTGAACTTGGGTTTACACTTGCGAGGTAGGCCACTGAGCTAAATCCCCGGCCCTTCAAAATAATCACTCTTGAGAGTAATTGAAGACACAAAATAATGATAAATGACTTTTTTCCTGTAAAAAATTTACAGAGAAAATTTGGGAAAATTGCTACTGTCCCAAACAGTTGGAAATATAAATTAGCAGGGCCGGGGATTTGGGTCAATGGTACTGCTGCCTGCCTCACAAGTGCAAGGGCCCAAGTTTGATTCCTGGTACCCCCCGCAAAGCTACCGGAAATATAATTTAGCCGAATCTTTTTGAAGAGGAAGATATATGAAAGAATTCAGGATATTTTTGGCTCATTAATTATACCTCTAGGAATTTATCATTGCATAAAGATGTATCTACATGTTCTTTCTAAAGAGACTGTCTATGCAGAGTGATTCTGCACCAAAACACACACACATACATGTATGTCTAAAGAAATTGAGCCGAACTGGGGGAGTAAATGGCCTTTAGATTTATGGCCTAAAGTGGGCAACTAAAGAGATAGCTATTTTCAGAAAAATTAGTCCTGAGAAATAAATATCCTTTTATTATAATTTTATTTTGTTTTTCTTTGATTGCCTCTTGGACTGTTCCCTAAAATCAAGTGTGTGTGTGTGTGTGTGTGTGTGTGTGTGTGTATAAATTTTTTTTTTTTTTTGCTCTGTTATTGAGACAGGGTCTCACTTTGTCATTCAGGCTGGCCTTAAATTCACGGCAGTCCTCCTGCCTCAGCTTCCTGAGTGCTGGGATTACAGGTGTGCAGCACCATGCCCAGCTATTGTAATTTAAAAGTTGAATTTACTGATATAGAACACAATTATTTGGCAAGGAGGTATGTTCTCCTGTGGTTTAAAAATTAGAATTATTACTGAGAGATAAAAGTAGGTGTTATTATGTGTAAATGCTTTTTTGCCATTGTTCTGGAAAATTTAGCTAAGTAAGATAACTAAAGTATTGAAGTACCAGTAAAATATTGGTTACTTAAGTAACTAAGTGGTGTCCATTTAAGTGTCCCTTTAAAAAAAACTTTAGATTAAAAAAAAACTTTGTAGTTATTAAAACAAGAATTTACTACTTCCAAGAGCAATTATGATAAATTATGACTTTTTTCAGGAGACCAAAAAATTATTAGAAAAATTTTGTTGGAATTATTTCTAGCATTTTTTTTTTCTTTTTGGTACTGGGATTGTCATGGTATCTGCATTGCACTAACTCGTTCTTCAGCAACTTTCTATGTCCTGCTATTTTTTTTTTCTTTTTTTGGTGCTGGGGATTGAACTTGGGTTCTTGTGCTTGCAAGGCAGGCGACCGAACCACTGAGCCAAATCCCCAGCCCTGTTTCTAGCATTTTTATCCTATGGCCTTAACACAACATTCGTACATATTTTGTGTCTTTTTTTCTTTGGTTATGTTTTAGACCTGGTCTTACTATGTAGCCCAGGCTAACCTTGAGCTCATGGGAATTCTGCCTCAGCTTCCAGTGTACTGGATGTGCCACCATACCTGACATATTTTGTATCTTTATACCCAAATTATTTAGTGATAAAAGTTATATTTAATTGATTTATTTAGGTCAGTCTATTTAATCTGAATCTGAGCCAAGGCTTTTTCCATTTTGTTGACCTTTGATTTTATGTTTTTGTTTTAAGGTTATATTTGGGAATTTAAATATCTTTTTGTTCAGTGCAATTGCACACTAGAGAGCTTGGAATTGCATACAACACCCTGGTCATCTTCTGAGTGCCTGTTCGATGATGATGTAAGGGCAATTGCATTTAAATCAAAATTTCAAGGAAGTACATCATCCTGTGTCAAAATGTCAGACTTAGCAACCCACCTAAAGGATAAGTATTCAGGTAAGATCTATGTATACATGAAATATTCTTTTTTTTTTTTTTTAAAGACAAAGTCTTACTGTGTAGCTACCCTAGTCTGTCCTTGAACTCATGGTGATCCTCCTGCCTCAGCCTCCCAAGTGCTGAGATTATAGGTATGTGCTACTGTGCCCAGCTCCAATTTTAGTACAAGCAAAGAAGCTACCATTTGTGAGAAAAATGTATGATAGAATATAAAATAAAGCATAGATCTTTCAGGCTGGAGATTTAGTTCAGTGACTTAGCCCCTGCCTGCCATGCATGAGGTCCTAAGTTTGATTCCTGGTATCAAAATCCAAAACAAAACAAAACATAGATCTTTGAAACTATCTAAACTAGATATTGATGACTTAGCTATCTGCTGCTAGACCTTAGATGTTATGTAATTATTAGAAATCACTTAAAAATTTCTCATGTGTAGTTTTCAGCAGTTCATCATTTATAAACCAGAAACAGGAAAATGACCGTTACCAGAGCTGCTATTGAGATAAGCATCTTAGGAAGTCACTCATCTTTTGCTGAATGTAGTTCTGAGATTTGCACGACACAGGAGCTGTGAAATGCCCTTTGAAATGCTGCTCTGTCAATTGCAATGCCATGCTTCCTGTTGGGGTTTGAGTGTTGTTCATCCCAAGGGCTCACTGGTTTGGTGAGCCAACCAGGTTTGGTCCCCTGTGTGGCAGTGGGAGGTGGTGACCCTGTAAGAGGTGGAGCCTGTGGGAGGTCCATGCATCAGTGGGTGCGTGCTCTCAGAAGGATGTGGAACTCCAATCTGCCCAGTTCTGGTGTGGCAGTGTGATCTTAACTCACCCCTGCAGTTGCCATGAGTTTCTCACCAGAGCTCAGCAATGCCAGTGCCATGCTCGTGAATCTCTAGAAATGTGAGCTAAATAAACCTGTTCTTTATAAAGTTCATTTGCCTCAAGGATTGCATTATAGTCACAAAAACAACCTGTTAAATTTCCTCAACTCAAATACTAGCTGTATGTCTCCAGAATTCATCCTGAGAAGCATGTCACATAGAAGAATGCCTTTGATGATGAATTTTATACACATACACACTTTGCATTAATTAAATGTTATTTTACGTAAATATAATTAAAGTGATCTGTTTTTAGTAAAGAAGAAAAGGAACACATTTTGGATTCAGATTGCCATGGGCTTTGGAACAGAGTGCACAATAATGAAAATAACCAGTGAAGTCTCTATGGTTTTACATTTTTTTTTTGGTACCAGTGGTCGAACTCAGGAGCTTGTGCTTGCAAAGCAGGAAGCAGAACCACTGAGCTAAAATCCCCAGCCCAAGTCTCTATGGTTTTAGAGGGAAGAGACTCCACTGCATTGTGCTGGTTTCCTGTCCACTGAGGTGGTGCTGAAAGGATGCTGACCTCTAGATGAACATGCTGTAATAGCATTTGAAACTGTATTTAGGGTTGCTAAGTTCCAGTAATTAGTAATTGACAGGGATTATTGGTTTTAGAAAATACATTTGCAATTATAGTAAATACCTTTTGGAAAGGAAATAAGGGTTGAGGAAAATGGGATGTAGGTGGTAGTTTTATTTTATTATATAATCTGAATTTTTAATGAAAATAATTGGTCAAAACTTTTCTAAGAATTTTTATAAGATTTCCATTTTGATTGATTTTGTAGGTTACATTTTTAAGAATAACTCAGCAACTTTGGTTCCTGATGCTGGATTTAAATTCCATTTTTTTCCATTTGTAGCCACTCTTTTTCAATTTTCTGAGGAGTTTGTGTAGAATTAGAATGTTGCTTTCTCAAATGTTTGGTAGAATTCCTCAGTGAAGCTTTTCTGCTTACATAAGAGTTACTCACTGGAATTGAATTAGATTTTAAAATAAGAATAAACGCATGTGGATGTGAACAAAATAGGTGTCACAGTGCTGATTGTTAATGATATCAGTGCCCCAGTAGCTTGGAGTTGAGGCTGGAATTGGGAGTTCTTGGAAAACCTCGGGGTGCATGGCCCTTTGGGAATTCATTTTGAAACTGTACCCTTACAGTTGGGTCTGAAGGGGCTGTGTTTAGATAGTCCCTTCTCGCTCTCTTTCTGTTTCACTGTGGTACTGGGAACTGAACCCAGGGCACTAAGCTACACCCCCGGCCTTCTTTTATTTTTTGACACAGGGCCTCACAAAGTAGCTGAATTTCCCAGGCTGGGATTGAATTTTCCATCCTCCTGACCTAGCCTCCCAGAGGACTGGGGTTACAGGCATGTACCACAAACCTTGGCTCTTTTATTTTCTTTATGTTCAGCTATGAGGGCTGAATTCATAGTTTCTCTCATTATTTTTGTGTGGTTTTTGTTTGTTTTTCACAAACTGGGGATTGAACCCAGAGCCTCATTCAAATAAAGCAGGTGCTATACCACTGAGCTATATCCCCTGTTCTTTTTTATTTTGAGATAAAGTCTTGTTAAATTCCCCAGCTTTGCCTTGAACTTTCCATCCTCCTGCCTCTGTCTCCCAAATAGCTGGGATCATAGGTGTGTACCACTGCCACAAATAACTGTTTATATGTTTTTAAGACAAAATGAACAGCGAGACCCTGTCTCC